GATCCATTTCCGCTCTCACCTGTGCTTGTGTTGCCATTAGAGGCAGCTGACCTTTCTTACATGTGCATGCTTTTGGCTTTCAGGCATCAGATCATTTCCTGAGAGTTTTGAGGAATAAAGCAACACTTTTTTAACAGCAAAAAACTGCCACCAAGTCTTTTGTTTGAGTTTGTTTGGTTTTTTCCCTACTGCCTCAAATGTATGGTGAGAGCACAGAGCATACAACAGTGTAGTTGAGAGAGACTGAACATCATAAATGGTAATGGAATTACTGTGTCCCAGCACAGTTTCTCTTGCAGATATCCCATCCTCCTGCCCATGGTTTCAGCAAGACTGTGGTCTGTCCTGGGCTATCTGCCATTTGCCTGATTTGAGGATGTACTGCCATTGAAGTGACCCCTTCATGCAGGCTCAGTTCTAGAGCAGATTGGAAATGCTGACGCTTCTGTGTCAGCCTGAGTGCTGCATCCAGCTTTAATGGTGGCCAAGAGAAATGGGAGAGATGTCAGAAATGAAGCAGAGCTGTCTGATGCCTGACCTTGTCTGCTGCACATGGTGGGACACCGTGCTGCCTGTCAGCAGAGTGTCCATGGAGGGCTCCCAAAACCCACGTGCTGGCTGAATTTAACGTGCCATCAGTAATCACATAGCCAAATTTATTTTACAGCTGTGGCACTTGAAAAAGCACTGGTTTTTGTAATGGCAGAGGCCCAGGGCTGTCAGTGTGGAAGGGACCCAGGAGAAGCTGCCAGTCAGCAGTGATTTTTGCCCATCTGCTGTGCAGATACCACAGGGAGTTGCATGGTGCTTAGATAAGTGATAAGTGAAGCCTGCACACTGCCTCTCCAGCAATGCAGCAATCCTGGTTGTGTATCTCCATAGAGCCCTGTGATCCAGACATGGCCCTGTTCCATTGTATGCATTGACAAGCTATCTCTTGTCTTTGAACATGGGTTTGTGACCCCATTGTTTTTAATAAATAATAGAAAAGCAACATCAAAAGAGTAAGTTAAGTCCGAATCCCCAGCAAGCAAATGATGGATCTCCCAGTATCCTCCTTGCCAGGGACATTTCAAGTCCCTGGTTAAACTCTCTCTGCAGTCTTCAAAAGGAGAGAGCCATCATTTGAGAAAACAGTGGACAAAAGCACTGGCATCCTGGGAGTGCAACCTGATGGTATGCCTTTTATCAGCTGCTTAGCAAAGTGTGTTTATTTTAGCACAAAGGCACTAGTGACTAAGCTTGAAATATTTTGAAATTGGTGCTGAAATGACCTCGAGGTCATCCTGAAGGTTCCACAGCTAAACAGACTAGACAGACATGTGAGGAATGAGCAGTACATAAAAGCTCAGGGCTCAAACTTCCTGTCAAAAGATGAACAAGATACCTTGTAAAAAAAGTGAAGACAGTAAAGTTGAAATGCCAAAGAATTTTAATTGTCTGAATCTTTTCAGGTGTGAGATTAGCTAAATTCAGAGTGAAGCAAAAGTGAAATACAGTTAGGAGCCAGCAGCATAAGACGTGTAGTAGAACAATTGATCCTGAAAGCAGCAAACACACCTTAAATATTCCTGGGTTTGTCAGAGGATATTTCATCATGATACATGTTGAAAGTAGGCAGTTATCAATATGTGATTCCTTATATACCATTTAGCTTCTCAGTCCTTCCTTTTGGTGAAAGTAAAACAGCAGTCCATGCTCAGATAAAACCTGTGCCAGCCTCTGCAGGCACAGTCAGAAGCATTGCTTTTGAGAGGGCCTGGTTTAGTTCAAGGCACTGTCCCATGGCAGGGAGCTCAGTGCAGGGACAGAAGTCACTGCCACCCTGCTCTGCGCTGTGGGGCAGTCCCAGTGCTGTTCCCTTTACTGCTGTGGCTGCAGCAAGGACATGCATTTCCCAGCTCCACTGGGACAGTCCCCAGCACAGCCTTGGAAGTGAGCTCTTCCTGCATCTTGCCTTCCCAATTGTATGATGAGAAAGTGCTTCCTCATCTCAAAGAGACACTGGGGAAGTTGAGAGCAGCAGGGAAGAAATGGGCTGTGGTTGCATGAACCACTCCCACAGTGGCTGCAGTAGTGCCTGGTTACTCATGGGTTTTGCTGATTTCCTTTTACATTTATACCAGAAGCCTAAAGAAAGTCATGGAGAACTAAAAATGGTTAAAATGCTTACCTCTTTTCTGACAAAAGTAATTAAATCATCCCCGTCCTGCCTCAAAGTGCTCTTGGTGTCAGCAGCTGTTCAGGGACTCACATGATACCAATGGCCAAATTATAAATCCTTTACAAAGGCTTTATGCCTCTGCTGAATGAGCTTACAGCAGAAGCCCAGACACAGCATGCTGGCTATGGCACCTTCACTGAAAGTCTGTTGCCATCAATCTTAACCTGCTAATGTCACCGTGTTAAAAATACACTGGGTGCAGAATGGCTGGTAAATGCTTTTTTTGTCACCATGGAAGAATGGTGTTGTGGCAGTGATCCAAACCTCATTCCTTCTGTTGGAATGTCTGCTGCTCATGCACCAGGCCTTGATCCAAAGAAGTGTTTCTCATTGCATGGCCCCATGTGTATGTTTTTCCTCACCACTGTCAGCTTGTCTTTAAGGAGACACATTGCATGCAGGTGGAAAGTCACTTGGGCACCTGCCCGTTGCGCTGAACTGGAGCCCTTGCTACCATGTAATTTAAAACCTAAGTTAAATGGTTTTGTTCGTTTTTCGTTTTTGGGAGTGCCAAATCCCAGTGTTGCATTTCAATCAGTGGAAGATTTTCAGGAGTACTTCTTGCTGCATTAGCAGCGTAAGTTGTTAACTTGCTTAGGACCACCCTTGACAAAGGTGATGCAAATCTCAGGTATTCCCATGCCTCTCCTGTCCCTCCTCAGAAACTGTGACTCTGGAGCTGCTGGTGAGCATGCCAGGCTTACCTGTGGACAGGCAGACACACAGGTGGGGTTATCATGCAAATACACACCCTGGGTTATAAATCACAAAGATTACGTGTCCCAGATTAGATACTTTCTATTTTGAACTCTGGGTCCTGTTTCAGTTTCAGCAACCTTGGCAACAGAGGGTGGATGAGAAAAATCAAAGTGGGACACTTTCAGGATTGTCAGATTTTCTTCCATGCCCTATCCAATGCCTGCATTGATGCAAGGATGGGCTGGTGCCCTTGGTCATCTCTGACCTTCAGGTTACATGGTTGTCCCTAGGAGGGATTTGAAGAGAATGGGGGACAGTGACTGTGATGGGGCCATGTGCTTTTGGCTTCTACACTGCTCCAGTAAATACAGAGCTGAGCAATGCCCACAGTTTACCCCAAAGTTCCTGCACATGCAAACAGGGGCTTGTTCCTTGAGAAAACACACTGCCCTGTCCTCCACCTGCCCCACTGTCTGAGACTTGGACTGGGCACTAAGGGCCACTGTTGAAATGCTGGTCTGGCTCAATTCACTGGCAAAACTTCGGAGTTTCTCTGGAGCATCTCCATTTTGGTAGGTGCTCCACTGGGACAGTTCCCAGTGCAGCTTGGGGAAGTGAGCTTTTCCTGCATCTTGCCTTCCCAATTGTATGATGAGAAGGTACTTCCTTACCTCGAAGAGACACTGGGAGCAGTCCATCCCAAAAGTGGGCAGGGAGAAGCTGAGAGCAGCAGAGGAAGAAATTGGCAGCAGGAGTTGTTTCCCAGCCTGAGGGTGCCCTCTGGCGTATGCAGAAAACTGTAACATTTGTTTCTTGAAAACTCGCTTGTTTCTTGGGTTTACTTGGCTTCCTCCTTTCCCTAAAGCCTTGCAGCCAGCGTGGTTCTTTACTGAAGGCTGCCAGGTGGGTGCATACCATAAGGTGACCCCCAGTCCAGTCCTGTGTGATGTTCACATCTATGCACCCAGCAGCTGACCATCACTTGTTTAATTATACTGGCCACATTCAGCATGTCAAGCAGGAGGCTTCTGGGCCCCAGTGTCTCAGACCCAATTTCCTTCCAGCAGTGCTTGGTAGGTGTCCAAAACCAGCCTGCAGCAGGTCCTGCTCCAGCTGTGCCCAGGCAGTGCTGCTCCCCTGCCCTGGGCTCTGTCTCCTGGCACGCACTTGGGGCTCCAGTGCAGAACCATTCCAGTGCCAGGCTTGCATTTCAAACCCTGGGTCAGTAGGGAAACCAGGCTGCTAAGAGGTAGGAGCAGCCTTTTATAAACAAACAAAACCTAGCCCTTTTTTCTTGGGAGAAGTTTAGGAGTGGTGGCAGTGTGAGCAAACATTGCCATGATTACATGGAACTGAAAACAGACGGTGAATGGGAGGCATAAACATGAAAGCTGAAGTAAATACAAATCCTCTCCATATGTAGAGTCCTTTCTTGGAAAAACTTTGTCATCTTGTCTTGATTATGACATTTGGATTTATTTTTTTTTAATAGTTTCAAAGCTCTTTGTTGGCAGCTGCAGTAACAAATGTGCTGGTAGGTAACAGAGAAGCTTGTTGAGTGCTTTGGTGTTGGAGTCTGCTGGGGCAGAGTGAGTGCTCAGGTATTGCAGTGCCTTGTCTGGCAGCTGCTGCTCATAGCAAAACAGTAGGGTCATGACATTTTAGGGAATTAAGTGTGGGTCACTCTCTGTATGCCCTTTCTTCTTTCCTCCTTGCTCCTTTCCTTGGTTGTTTTCCAGCATGAGTCAGTGCATCCTCCCTCACTCTTCCCAGAGTTACAACACATGGTAATCTGCCAGGAGATGGTCCAGGCTTGCAAAGCTCCTGCTTCTTACCCAAAGGTGGGACTTCTGTCCAGATCCACCAGCTGGCATTCATCAGCAACCACCGGTGGAAGAGAGTTTGGCACGCTGGAGTCTGGGAAGACACATGCTGGGGTTAGGTGCTCTTTTCCAGCTGTGTGACATCTGCCCTTGGATGTCTTCATTGTTGTTTGCTTCTCAGCAGCCAGGTTTTGATCACATTTTCTCCTTGCTCTCTGCTGATCTTTTTCTTATCTCTGTGTTTTTTTCCTTAGGTCGAAAGCTGAGAGGAAAAGCTTTTTATTTTGTCAATGGAAAGGTGTACTGTGAAGAAGATTTCCTGGTAAGCACTCAGTTGACTCTTGTGATAGACCTAATGGATATCTTAATGGATATCTTTCTGTTGCCCTCAATGGATTTTGTGTGAGTGTACCTAAGCATGAAGCAACACCCCAGAGCTTTTTTTTTGATCTGCACCTCCCTTCTTGGCTGGTGCAGATAAAAATCCATACACCCTTCTACCCCTGAGTCATGGTAGATGAAGCCTTCCTTGAGACTTGAAAAAGTTGCATTTGCTTACTTATTGGTGAATCCTAGTGATTTCTGTCAGAGAGAGGTAAGGTCGTCTTTGTTCTCCTCAGTATATTCTACATAGGGTGAAAATAAAAGAATTAAATTCACCTAAAATATTTCATTTTCCAAGTGTGCATTTTCTTCATTCAGACAGATGATGTGCTGTGCCCAAGGTGCATGGACATGACAGACAGTGCCTTATCAATAGATCTCAGGAAAAACAGCAAAAAAGTTGCAGTGGGCCAGACTTGATCGCTATCCTACCAGGGAGCTGGAACAATACCACTGACCTTAGAGAATCTTCAACAGAATTATAACCTTGTAACCAAAGAAAAATTTGGCTTTCCAGGCCTGTATATACAGATACTACAACATAAGTATGTGATAAACACAAGCAGGTTCTTGTCTTGTGGATTCATGTGGTCAAATAAGCATGTAAATAAGTCTTATTAGTAACTGCCTCATTTGCATGTGCATTTATGGTATTTATTCTTATACTTTAAATTGGACTTGGAAGTTACAGGAATTTGTACTCCTTCTGAGCCTGGGCGCTCAGAAACACATCCACACCTTTATATAACAAAAAAAGATTGGAAAATTTAGTTTTTCTGTCTAAGGAGCACAGAAAAAGGACCAATAACAAATATGCAAATAGCACTCCACAGTACACTGTTGCTTATGCTTGAGTGGCCTTGTGAAATTTTAAGTGAATTCTTTTCTGTCCTTGCAGTATTCTGGTTTCCAGCAGTCGGCTGACAGGTGTTTCATTTGTGGTCATTTGATAATGGACATGGTAAGTGATAATTGCTTTAGGAGAAAAAACTCCCACCGCTTTTTACAAGAATGCATCAAAAGCAAAATATATTCATATCCAGTGCTGTCTGTTATCATCTGGTAGTTTGCCTAGTGTGAGACTGGTATCAGAAGGAAAATCCACTGAGCCTTTTGTTGATTTTTTCAAGGAAGTGAATCTGGCAGCCTAGTGTACATCATGCAGAGACACTGCTCTGCCTGTTTTCAGTGGGTGTTGAAAAGCAGAGCCTCCAGGTCTTTCATCCCTTTTTTGGACTTCTCTGGACAGTGTATTTGTAATCCTGTTGATGCTTCCTGCTCAGCAGTGTCGTGGCTCTGCAGTGCTCCCTTGCTGTGAGGCATCAGTGCTGCTCTCTCAGTCTCTCTGTCCTGCAGTCCTGGCTTCCCATATGTATTCTGCATTAAGTCACTTTCTTGTTGTTTTTTGTGGGTACTGATACTCTGGGGAGCAGGTTTGACCTAGGGTGTGTGATCCAGACCTCAGTTTAGATCTGTGAAGCAGGATTAGCCTGCAGCAGGTACCATCCATTCCAGATGTGCATGGGGTGGGGAACACTCAGGGGATCAGCATTCAGTTATAGGAAGTTCAGAGGGAGACTGGTATAGCTGGTGGTTTAAGATTACAGCTGAGGCAAAGAAATTAGGAATTTCTGGTTCACAGCATGCCTCCCAACATTTTCTAATGCTTATCATTAATTATCTTTGTTTGCCTGCTTACACTGGAAAGCATTACAATTGGAAGCTGTTTCCTACTCAGAAGTCTGATCCTTCTACTGACGGACCATGGTATTCCAGGTAGTGAATTACAGCTGTTGAGTTCAACACAGTCTGTGCTGTGTTTCCATAGTCTGTGCTAATTAGAAAGCCAGGCAAGCAAGTACAAAGCCCTTCAGTATGTAAGGAATTATGAAAACCTAGCAATAATACTAGTTTCAACTTCTCATGGAGAATATAAAAGTGTATTTCCTTTGTTCAGCTGGTACATTGTGCCTTGTGATCTTGCTAAGTATTCTCTACTTGTTGACTTCAGAAATTATTTTCTTTCCTTTAAGTTCTGTCACTTCTATCCTTTGTCATGCTAAACACCTTGACTGAGTCTCTAAATTGTTTTAGTACCCATGCTAATAATTAATATCTCTAGAGTCAGGTGCTGTGTATTGATTCCAGCTGCCCGTTCCATCCTTGTTAACTGATTTTTCAGATGAAACAGGGGAAAAAAGACACAGCCCTGCTGATGAGTATGCAGCATTATCTGGTGTAAAGCTGTGTGTTTACTATTTTCACCTTAATTGGCTCTTCATGTGCATTTTTCCTTTCTCTTGCTCTGTTGCAGATCCTGCAGGCTCTAGGGAAATCGTACCATCCAGGCTGCTTCCGATGCGTCATCTGCAACGAGTGTCTGGACGGTGTGCCGTTCACTGTAGACTCTGAAAACAAAATCTACTGTGTCAGGGATTACCACAAGTAAGGGCAAAATAAACAGCAGTGATGTTCCAAGCAGCAAGCCTCTAACTTAGCTTTTCAGCTAGTTAGGAGAAAATAGAGACAGGGTTAGAAGTTTTGAGGATGGGGCTAGATCCTGGAAATTCCTCCTCTCTCCTCTTATCCAGCTGTTGACTCTTGTGTAACTCTGATGAAGCCAAATAACCTCTGGGTTTCAGAGGTTCTCTGCCCCTTCTGCAAAGCAGAGAGAGTGAGAAATAGTGCTCCTGAAGTGTTCAGTGATGTACAAAATTAGTCTGCTTTAAGTTAAGCCTGTGAATGCCTGTGGAAATCTATGTGATTTACTTTTTGAGTTGTTGAAGGGCTGAGTTAGACTTTTAAAGAACTGCCACTGAATCTGCAATGCAAAACTTTTTGCCAGTTCTAAATTGAACAACTGATAAATCCACTTTAAAAATCACTTCTTATTTAGACAGTAAAATAAAATGGCTGTGCTCTTGGCTGGTAGTTATGGTGTTAGAGCTGCACACATTTTGTGTGTCCTTCTGGCTTGCTTTGGTCCTTGCTCCATTTTCTGAGCAGGGAGAGTATTAAGTGTTGCTCAGGCAGCCCTTGGAACTCTTCTGTGTTGTGCCAAGACCAGAGTTGTTACAATCCTGTAGCCAAGATTAGTGCCCTTGCATGCCGTCATTATTCGGAAATAATTAATATTTCCTCGCAATTTAATTTAATTAATTATTGTGTTATAAGGCCTTAAGAAGCTGTGCAGTCATGTGGCATTTTCTCAGAATTTTTCTGCCCAGAGGCAGAAATTTTTCTCCCCACTTCTTTTAATGTACTTTTCTGGGGACAGTCCTGCTCAGTTCCTCCTCATTTTCTCTTCCAAATCTCTCAGTAGCAGCCAAGAATTTTATAGGGAAAATTTGTATTTTTTCTGGCACTAAGTGTAAGATATAAGGTCTCTTTTTGCCTGATTGAGCAACGTGTGCCAAGCATTACTTAAAATAAATGCTATAATGAATTGATGATCTCAGGATGCAAAGCTTTCCTGTGGATAAGTAATTTACAGCTGCAACTTTTCATGTTATCACTGAGAACATACAGACCTCTCTTTTTATGTTATCCTTAACTTGCCTTCAATTTTTCATTGCTCTTCCAGAGTTTTAGCTCCGAAGTGTGCAGCGTGTGGACTTCCCATTCTGCCCTCCGAGGTGAGAGCCTTTTATTCCATATCCCTTTGGGGGAGGAGTGTCAGGCCTTGCTCTCTTTCACACTTGACCATGTGTCAAAACAATTGTGCTTGTTGATGGGGAGAGATGGTTGCTTCCTCTGGAGTGCAACCCTTTGGTCTAAGCTCATGGACTGTTCTTGAGATGTGACCCTTCTTTTGTTCACTGGTGAAGCTTATTGCTCCTCTGCCAGGCTGCTGTTTTCATCTCCTGCAGGATCATGCTGCTGCTAGTTTTATGTTCAGGGGAATTTTCCTTTATGTCAATAGATGCTGTTGGTACTCATGAATGTCCTCTGCGTGACCACTGTGGGACTAACACATTTTAATGCTTGGAGATGAATCTTAGGCAAAACTAATTTACAATGGTGAAAAATGTGATCTGTTGAAATTACCAAGTGATTCATTTGTGATTTCTGATAGCTGTTACTGTTAAACAGAGAACATTTTTACACTTCTGGTATCACATTTTAGAGGATATCTGCAGTCAGTCTGTGATGAAGCTTTACTGTAAAAATAACTGCAAGTGGCAGGATTTATTTGTGGTCTCCAACCAGCTGACCAAATGCATTTCCTCAACATTCATTTTGTTGCAGCAAGCAATCTACAGAGTGCATGTGTCTGATCCTGCTGTAATCCTTTGTAATTTCTGCTTTGCTCCAATGCTCACAGGGGTCTGATGAGACCATTCGGGTTGTGTCCATGGACAAGGATTACCATGTGGAATGTTATCACTGCGAGGTAGGTCAGCAGCTTTCTCAGGGACTGGGCACTTCATAGTCATAACTGCTGTTGTTTTTAAGATGGAAATAAATCTCCTGCCTTACAGGAGCTGAGCAATTCAAACCTTCAGTGTGAGACCCTTTCTGTCAGTGACTGAGAAGTTTCCAGATTGAGGACAAAAGTTTTTGCAGCAATGGGTTTCAGTTCTAATTTCATTTGCCATCCATAAAGTTATGGGCAACCAGTTAATTACTGCTTTTCAAACTTGGCAGTTTATTTGTTAATGCAGGAAACATGGTGACTTAGTAAGGTCTATTGCTGCCTTTCAGAAGCCTCCAGCTCCAGATCACATATGTGTATCTGATTTCCAAGTCAGATTGTTGAAAAATGCTAAGGTGGTGACTGATCCTGCAGGGTGTAAATTACCTTCACTCTCATGGGAAATCAATGTGTCTTTGAGGCTGGAGAAAGGATGTGGCTGCACAAGAAAAAATTCCAGGAGATGCCAGCTCTTAAAAACCATTTAGTCTGTGCAGGGCTTCTCAGAAAGTTGCCTTACTTCTGCATTGAGAATTAAAATATGTAGTTGTTTTTTCTCACTGTGCTTATAATGCAGTGTAAAGAGGCCCTGACTCCACAATCTGATTTCACATCAGTACAACTGTAATGTGAAGAGGTGAATCTTACCTGACAGTGTAAGGAGACACAAGCATATTTAAAATACAGAGGGTTGCACTTTACCACAAGATAAAACTTATTCAATAAAACTGCTTTGAACAAATTTGTACAAGGCTGCCCATCAAAATGCCTGTGTCAGATGTTTTTCTTCTTGTGGTACACGCTGGACCTATTGGGAAGGAGCTGTTGGCTGGGTGTTGTCTGTCCTTGTCACAAAATGACTCTCCTAGAAGCCAGACCCCAGCTGACACTGGGGGATGAGCACGAGCTCTAATAACTTGCATGGCCTCTCTTTGCAGGACTGTGGGATGGAGCTGAACGACGAAGACGGGCATCGCTGCTACCCACTGGATGAACATTTGCTTTGTCACTCCTGTCACCTGAAGCACATAGAGAATGGCACAACCCCAGCAGCTGCCTACCAGCACCACTACTAGTCACTGTGGCCAGCTTTGGGAAGCTGGGACAGAAGAGTTGTTACATGATCCCCCTCTCCCCGCCTTCAGCTGATTTCCTGTGCATGTTTTTTGCCAGTCAGCAATGTTCCTGTCAAAGGATATGAGAGATTTTTGCTGGATTCACCAAGTTTGTATGCTTGTGGGTTCCAGCTGCATCAAACCATGTCTATTTGACCAAGAATGTGGCATGTTACCCAAACTGATCAGTTTACTTTTACGTGTCTTTTTCTGCTGCCTGGAGATTCCTCTGGGCTCGTTTTGGAAGATTCTTCAGTGAAAGCACAATTTGCTCTCGTGCCTATGAACTCACATCGTGCCATGCACAATTAAAAAGCCAGAGGCTGGCTTGCCTGCCTGCCTGCTGGGGACATCCCATTAGTCTACTGTTTCCTGAAAGCACATTTCACCAGGTTCTCTGAACCTATTAGTACCAGCTTTTTAGAGACTCTCCGTTTTTATTAATTCTTTAGGAAAACAAAAGAAAGAAGTCTATGCAAAATGGCACCCTCAGACCTTTCAGTTAATTCCCTGAACTCCAGTATCAAGTCTGGCTGTAAGAGTACCAACTCTCCAAGCACCAACCAGGCAATGCTGTCTGGCAACTGGAGGCCAACATCCCATTTCAAACAGAACAAAAAACTGGAACAAGCTGGGCTAAGCTACTGCAGTGACTTGGGGCCCAGGCTTGTGTGTCAGCATGACACACAGGGGCCAGTCTGCTGTGTCAGAGTCTGAATAGTGGATCATATTTGGAAAGGAAAGGTCAGGATGCTGAAAGTGTGGACATGGGGGAAATCCACCCTCATTCTTGCTTGCAGAGCTCTCTTTGGAAAAAAGCTCTCCATACACAGACAGTTGCCTGGGTTTTCCAGTTTGTCCTCACAGCTCAGCCCTCAGCCTGGCTATTCCTTTTCATGGTGTTTACCCAGCACAAAGCCATTTCATAGTGGTGCTTATTCAGAGTTTGTGGAGTGAACTTGGGATTGTTATGAAGGCTTTGTCACGCAGGGATTTAGAGCCCAGCTCCACAACCTGAACTCAGATGAGTATGTTGGCATAAACAGGTTTGCTCCTATGAATAATAACAGCTTATCTGAGCAAGGGGTTTGTGAGTTTGGCCCTTACTTTCCCTTCTGCTGAGAAAGCAGGAAGACAAATTGTTTCTTTTCTTGACCCTCCCACTCCCCCGCTCCCTGCTTTATAGTCAAAGCAATCTGTTCCCCTGATGTGTTACATTTCTGATAGGTGTGCCTGCAGTGCGTGTTCTGTCCCTAGCAAAGCTGTGCAGCCCCTCATGTACTGGTACTTTTGTTTAACAAAAAGTTCTTAATTTAAAGCTTCAGATGCAGTTGGGGATCTTAACTACTCTTTCTTTGTGTGGAAAATTAGTTAAATCCTCATGTATCTATGCTGAAGGTGTAAATTTGGTTCTGACTGGCAAAGGATGGGATGACATTCTTGAAGATCTTTTCATTGTGAAAATGACAATAAATTAGCTGAGCCATGGCAGTGGGACTCCCAAAATGTTCCCATGCTGAAAACCCATTACAGTTCAACCAAACTTCTTTTCCAATAGCAGGGATGTAGCTTGAACTTCACTTGATGTAGTCAGACAGCAACGTGTGCCCATCTGGAGCAGCGCAGGTGTCAGGTAGCAGCAAGTCTCTGCCTGTAAATCATCTCCCCGTGGCTGAAATGTGAAACTGCCCCAGCCTCAGAGCTTGGTGGGCCTGGCCTGGAGTTTCATGGTGCCAGCTGACCATCCAGCCCTCTGTCCCATCCAGCTGCAAGTGCCTCTGCCTGTTTGCACTGCCCTTCAGGATAGGGATGGCAGCTTGGGGCTGGAGGCTGGTCCTGCCTGGGAGCCATCCAGAGCTTTGGTGTAGCTTGGCTCTGCAGCACCATTTTTCCTGGGGACATGAATCCCTTCAGTGAGTGACTGAAAGCTCAAGGGAGGGCACTTCAGCACTGTGAAATATATCTTCTGAGAGTTTTACCTATGATTTTAGAGGAGGTAAAATTGACCCCAAATATGTGAGCCCTCCTAGAGCCTTAAATTTAGCTTCCAAATGCTGGTTAGGAAAGGGATGGGAGCTGTAAGCAGTGCTGCATCCAAGCAGGATGGATTGAGGGCAACAACAGCCAGGCAGATCCCATAGTGCTCTCACCCCAGTGCATCCCATCAGCTTGTGTCCTGCAGCACAGCTAGGCTGGAGCAGGGAGGGGGTGTTCCAGGTGTGACTGTGACCTCAGGACTGTCTGAAGGGACTGAGGTGGAAAATAACACCAGCTCACAATCTCTAGTAAATAATTCAAATAGTCCTGGGCAGGTGGTTCTGTGCCCTGGGCTGCTTTTTGCAGTGAAGGCAATGAGATACCAACGTGTTTTTTTGAAGTGAGCTGGAAATACCAGCCTTGGTCATCTCTTGCCTCTGAAAGACCAGCTGCTATTTAGTTCATGCTTTTGCTACCTCTTGATTTTTTAGATCAAGCCCTTGTGCACGTTTTTTGGCCTTCATTTTGTAAAGATCTGAAAACACTAGTGGGACTGGGATTTTAATTTTAAACTGCAGTTTAAACTTCTGTCTCAGCCTTGCAGCCTTCCCCAAAACCTCAACATAAGCAGGAGAGAAGGGAATGGGGAGAAGGATAATTTTCTTTCATGGAAAGCCTCAAGGGCAGCAGTTCGTGACAAGATGTCCTGCATGAGCCCTCTTTGCATCCCCGGAGTTTGGCCTCTGCTCCCACACAGTGTCTTCTTACTCCTGCCAGCCATCCTGTATCCCTCAGCACTGGGGAAATGAAGGCTGCCCTACTTCCAGTTTTAAGGTCTCCTATAAATTATTAAATGCTAACACTCTCCTTTCCTGTATTTACAAAAAGAGCTGGAAGTGACAGTGTGAAGCTCTTGAAAAAAGGAGCCTGTGCGCTTGTGGTTTTGAGGCTAAAGCATCTGCTGCACTGCCCTGCACCCCTGTGTGTGCTAACTTGCACTGCTTCTGTCTCTGGGAGTTTGAATTCCTTTAAGCTCAGTATTATTTCTCCCAGGCTGTGAGTGTCTGAGTCCCTGTTGATTTTCCCCAGCTCTGCAGCTGCCTGGCAGTGGGTCTGGCACAGGGGGAGGCAGGGCATCCTGCACAGAGGAGAATCTCCTCCTCCTCCCGACCCTCCACCAGGCATCTGTGGAGCTTCAGCCCTCCCTGCCTGCCTTCAGGCAGCTCCCCCAAAGGGAGAAATAGCTCTGGAGCTGGAGGTGTGACACTTTGTGTCCTCTTCACAAGAATTTCAAAAAACATATTAAATTCCTCCTATGTCCTGGCTGGTGCACATTGGGGTTTGCTGTTCACATGATTCTTGTTGTCTTTTAATTTATTAAGAAGCTATGAAAACATGCTATGAAATGTTAGTCTTGGTTCCTCCCCCAGCAAGTTCTTCTGACTGGCTTTAAATTAAGGGACCCTTGGAAGTCCCATTGTGCTGTTAATGAGTAACTCTCATGCAAATAGTCATTCAAGTGAATTCCCTGAAGCCTGCTTTCAGGAATCAGAGCTTAAAAGATTTTTTCATTCAGATCATGTTCATTCATGATGTTAAATTTCTATTGCTTAAAACACAGAAACTCATTTAAATAGGGATTTTTGCATAAGAGCCGGGGGAAAGGCCCAGCTACAGAAGCAGCAGACATTTTTGTGTAATGTAAAGTGTAAGAAGCACCTGTGATCAAAGCATTTTGGGAAGCTGCCCTGATGTTAAAACACAAGGAACAGCAGTTTCTAACACTCTGGTAAAGAGCATTTGAAAAGATCTGTGGCTCTTCAGCTTCTGAATTTCATTTGGGGGCTTTTAAAACGTTTTCCCAGTCTTTCAAGATTTAAATGCTCTTTTATTTTTTTTTTTTTTAGATCTTTTTACTACGAAGTGAATAGCTGCTTAGTCTGTAAATGATGATGGAGTTTCATCAGCAGTCAGGTGTGATGTGGCAGCCTTGAAAGGGGGAAACTGGGCTTCCAAGAGCTGCCATGGGTCTGGCTGGCCGTTCCAAAGAAAGGATTATCTTTAAAAAAAAAAAAAAATACCGTGTGGGCCTTGACAACTTGCTATGTGCTCACTTTTGGGGTGCTGTGTGCAGCTGTGTCCATGCACATGCTGTGTGGCAGGTGCTGCCCATGGCACACCTGCCTTTCACACCGCTGTGCCCATGCCGAGTGCTTTTAGGTGCCTTTTGAGGAACTTTCTGTGCACGAATGTAACGCCACGTTGACCCAGGCCTCATCACTGGGCAATAGCCCTGGAGTCAGTACCTGCAGGCAGGGAAGGGCCATGACCAGATACACTTCCCTTTCCCCCGTCCTGTGAGTGCCACTGGGAGAAGCTGGGAAGGGCTTTGCATCTCATCATGGCACAGCATTTGTTCATTTTCCTTTTCCATTTCTGAGTCCTGCTGCTCGCTGGCTGCAATGGCTCTGGCTGTCCTCACTGAAGCTGACTGGGCAGACATCTTCCTGTCACGAGCCCAGACAGAGCTTGGAACTGCTCTCCCACCCTTTTCCTAAGGAGAAGCAAAGCTTTCCTCAGCAATAAAAATCCTTACCCTGCTTGCTTCCAGGGCAGCCAGAAGTTGGTGTGGCAATGCATCTGTAACCCACTCATACACGACAGGAGATGAGAAGAACCTGTCCCCACGTGCAAATCCATGGCAGAGAGTCCTGTAGAGGCAGGAATGCCCTGTGGCCCTGGTGGAGGGATGACAGGGCTGCAGTAGCCAGCCCAGCCCTCCTCCCCACGCAGCAGGTCTGCGGAGCAGGGCCAGGCAGGGACCCAGGCACACCCCCAGGCTCTGCCTTTCTGCATCCAGAAAGCAAATCCAGAGCCTGCCTAACGATACTGAATGGTACTAGTTATTTTATGTTCCTTCAAAGCTCAGCTCCAGGAGAGAGTATTTTAGGATTTGTGCTGGTGTAACTAACCTTAGCCTCCTGTGAACACAGCCCTCTTTTCCATATGTGCTGTTAAGTATTTATAAAGAATGGAGACCGGTAGCCACTGGCCTGTTGTGATTTCAGTGATTAAAGACAGTATCTTAAGCAACACTCAGAGTCAAGTCTTTCCTAAACTTAAAATGACTGTCATTGCCCAGAGTCCATGGTGGGGGGAGTTATGCTGTGGAATAATGGTTTCCCAACCTCTTCCTTACGCCTGTCCCCCCACCTCAGTGGGGTTCACTGGGAATTTCTAGTCCTTTGCAGGCAGCTGGTATTTGCTGCAGCTCCATTGGAAGCTGTCCTGCTCTGGCATTGTTCTGGGGAGGCCCAGGTCCCAGGCTGAGGGTGTGGGGAGGGATGTGCTGCACGTGGGAGCAGGCTCTGACCCCAGCATGGGAGTCTCCTTTGCAGCATCGGTGGGGGTGGGTTCCTTGAGGGTTTTGGGTGGTGTTCCCATGGTGCCCCTGCTATCAGCTACCAGATGCCTCAGACCCGAAGACTGGATGTTGGACAAGCAGCACACAGCAGCTTGGAGGTGTCAGCTAAAATGAAACAAATACATAGGAATAACTAATTATAGTTCCCCGTCCATGGGGCAAGAAGCTGCCCAAACCTGGGGCATGACTTCCAGAGAGCTGGATGTGGTGGGCCAGGAGGTGCCCCAGGTTTGGTCCTTGCCAAACCCCATAGCCTGCAGGGTCAGGAAGGGTGGCCAGGTGGGCAGCAGCTGTCCCTGAGCTGGGGCACTGCCAAGGGCAGGAAGCTCTGTAACACCACCCAGCCCTGGGAGGTTTGGACACTCCCGCATTGAGGCCAAAGATGTGGCAGCGGCGGGCATATAAGAAGTGGGGGACTGTAGGCAGCACCCTTCGCTGAAAGCAGAAAAGAAAAAAAAAAAAAAATTACGGAAAGGAGTGAAAAAGGAGCAGCCGAGCCAGCCAGGAGTCGAACCTAGAATCTTCTGATCCGTAGTCAGACGCGTTATCCATTGCGCCACTGGCCCTGCTCGAAAGGCGCTGCTGCCCCCGCGTATTTCAGCACAATTCTCTCTCGCCGCCTCAGCCAATGGTGGGGCTGGAGAGCCCGCCCGGCCCCGCCCTCCCCTGCCATAGGCGGTGCCCCGGCCTGGGCTCGCCAGCGCGCCCGCGGAGGTTTGTCCCGAGCGGGGCCCCGTCGCTCCGGCCCAGGGACGCGTCAGTCGGGCAGGGTGGGAGCGGCCGGGTCGGAGCGGAGCCCGCGGCCGGGGACAGCCCGAGGGGACGGATGGCGACGGCGGCACCGGTGGGAACCACGGCAGCGGCGGCCTACGCCAGCCTAAAGCTGTGAGTGACCCGTTGGGACGGGGGTGGCGCGGCTCTGGCACCTGCCGAAGAGGAGGGAAAGGGAAGGGAGGAGCCGCCGGTGGAGCGACGGTCACCCGTCCCCGGCTGTCCCCTGCCCTCCCCTGGCCTGTCCTCCGCCCTTGCTGCCCGTCTCGGCCCCCTCGCTCCCCCGGGTGACCGTGAAGGGCTTGGCCTGAGGCGGCGGCTGCGTGCGGGAGGAGGACGGGGAGGGAGGACTTTGGCCGCGGACACGGTCCCCTGTCGCCGTCCATCCCACGGCGCTGCGGGCGGCTCCCGTGTCTGTCTGTCTGTCCCGCTGCCCTCCCGCGGTCCCGGAGGTCAGTGCCTGCGGGGCTTCCCTTGCCGTGAGCAGCCTGCGCTGCCCGCTGCTTGTGGAGGCTCCGTCACTGGAGCCATCCCAACCCCACCTGGCCGCGTTGCTGTGTCCCTGCTCCGGGTGGCCGTGCCTTGGCAGGGCGTTGGGCCCGGTGCTCTCCGGAGGTGCCCCCAGCCCGGACAGCTCTGGGGTTCTGCCCTCCTGCTGCTGCTCAGGGGCTCGGGCGCTGCTGTC